ATGAGTAGGCAGATAATATCCCTCGTGAGGGGAGCCAAACCTAGTAGCAGGAAATGGTTCTTACCCCTGAGATTCTTCTAATTCCAGGCCTGGTGGTGAAATGTCAAGCAGCAGAGCCACCCAAGAGTCAGTGAGCTTCTTGTTATTGGACCTGTTCTGCAAGAGACCAACCAGCCATTAGCCAGGACTCTGATGGTGAAAGGAGGAGAAGGCCTGGAAGAGGGTCTGCTGGGCCCCCTTTCTCACCACACGGGTACCCAGCATCACTGGACGCATGCACACTAGCTATGGCTGTTTGGATCCACCAAGTGCTCACTGCAAGTCAGAGGGGCACTGGCATCTTCTGCACATGAATATGCAAGAGAAGCTAATCTTTACCCTCTTGGGAACACAAAAATCCTAATACTTCCTGGTGTATTATGTAAAGCACTCCTACATCAGAGTGAGATGGCTGCTCTGGACCCTCCCAGGCTAAACAAGGCATGCTTTTCTCAAAGTGTATTCCCAGACATTCAACCTCCCTATTTTCTTACAAATGAGATTCATTTCTATGTCTCCATGCAAATTCCAGCTGGAGATACTTCTACTTGGGTGTTGCTAACAGGGGAATCCATGATATGTATGCTTAAGTCATGCAATTTTAAGTGCTCGATGAATGAGAAGAAAGGCATCTGAATAGTGTGAATAGTGTGGTGATTTCAACACCAATCAGAGGGTGCGCGCCCTGGGGGAGTGGGCATGTGCTCCAGTCTACCTTTTCCATTCATAGTTTTCGGGTTCATGTGCCTCCGGTGGCATGTTCTTGCACAGCAATGAGTGCATTCTAGGGTTTAAAGAGATGTGATTTTTATATAATATGGCCTATAAGCATAAACCAGGTACTTCAGCTGGTAGCCTCCTTCAGAAGTAGGAATCTGTGCCCAAAACTGAAGACTGAGATGAAATGTCACTTTCCAACTTGGCCCTTACCAACAGTTTTCAAGGGTAATTCAACTACACAGGATTTTAGCCTCAGTGACCTTGGGACTCCATTCCCATGAAAGATGTAACTCTGCTTTTGTGAACTTCAGTCCACCAGGGAGATGGGTCGTGATGGGTCTGATCTCTATGGGAGGATCAGTCAAGTTTGTACTGCCTCTACGAGCATCATCTGATGTTTATCCTCTGTGCTAAAATGGCCCTTCAGGGAAAAACACCACCATGGTAACCAGTCACATTATTGCTGGGAGACATTTTTAACGTGCCCTGATCCCATCTGGGGAAGGAGGCTTGAGGGGCCAATGTAGGAGTTCTCAGGGAACAGGATGCACCCAGTCTCCTGACTTTTGGGTTGTTCTCTGTGCCTCACTGAGAGAGCACGTAGTGATCTGGGCTGGTGCTCTGCAAACCTACATGTCACTCCTCTCTACTCCAAACCCCAGCATGCATGTGCAAACACACACACACACACACACTCTCTCTCTCTCTCTCTCTCTCTCTCTCTCTAGGTTTCTAACAAAAGCCAAAACCAAGGAGGAAATCTTATTCCCTGCAAATGTTCTAAGAGAGACCCTCTGTTAATTTGGGAAGACCCTCTGTTAATTTCTCCATGATGAATTAATTTCCTAGAGATCATTTAAGGTGCTATCAAAGCATATATTTTCTTTTGCGACCAAACGGATCTGACCTCTTACTAATTTTGCCTACAATTAGTTTGGTGTAATTACCGCCACTTACAATTCAGTCTGCTTTCACTAAAAAAAATTATTGTTCATGGGGTCATAAAACTCTTTAAAAATTGCTTAATGAAAAATGGAGCCTTGGGAATGTCGCACAAGATAAGCCCAGCCATTAAATCCAGGACTTCCTGTGCGCATGAGGTAGTAGTCTGTTTCAGCAGTGTGTGTGTGTGTGTGTGTGTGCGTGTGCGCGTGGCAGCAGTGTGTGGGAGAGAAACCTTCTTTTACAGGGGTCCTCTGTGACTCTGGGTGTGTGCTTTGTAGCCTGACAGGGCCAGAGGTACAAATTCAAAACAGGATACTCAACATGCTCTGCCTTTATCTCCTGTTTTCCGCCTGATAGGAAGAATGGACAAATCCAACCAGAATAAAGAAAATAATGAGGGAGTAGTAGAGGACATCAACTCCTGTCCTCCAAGCCAGTTTCATTGCTCACAGCTAGGTGCGGTCTGAGCCAGGCCCACTCTGCTCATCTCCTGAATGGAGACCTCACGTCTGGGGTAGTCACAGCCTGGTTGGCTCATTTCCCCATGACAAGCCTTCTTCCAAAGCCATCCTGGTGTGTGGAGTGACAGTCCCCTCTCAGTCATCTCAGATGGACTCAGCAGCTTCCCCTTGCTTAGCCTTCTTCTTCCCCTCAGTACAGGGTTGGAGAAAAGGGAAACCAACAACCGTTAACTTCTCTCTGATGATGCACATCTTCGGAGTGTTACAAATGCACTAGGAGACTTTGTTCTCATGACCTGGGTGTGCACACACATGTTCACATGTTCTGGGTGTTCACACACATGTTCTGATGTCCTGGGTGTGTATACGTGAACCAGCACAACCTTGCAGTATTCCTTCAGATTGGGACAGAGCAAGGGGCAGACCATGAGAAGACCCTAAGGGTAAGGAAGACATGTGTGAAGAGAGTGAGGGTCCAGTCTCTGGAGCTGCCTGGGTAGCCCGTCACTGCAGGGTCTTCAGAATTAAATGCCTGAGCATGTGGCTGACAGAGACAACCCTCCCCCTGAACTGAAGTAGAAGCTCTGCCCTCTAGAGATGAGCACTGCCCACTGAGCAGCCCAGCTTTGCTTCCTCAGCCTCAAACAGGCAGCTCCTGAACAGGTCAGTGGGGAGTGGAAGATTAGGTCCCAGATGAGCCGTTTTATCTAAGTGGAAAGCCTGGCAGGATGTGGGTGCTGGCATTGGGAAACAGTTCCCGTCAGTGTACTCTCACATACTCTCAAGCAGCACCAATGTTACCTGGACAGAAGTTAAAGGTGTGTGAAACACGATCCTTATCCTCGGGACTGCACTGCTTAGTTGGGAAGACAGGATATAAACCACTGAACAGCACAGGAGAAAAGCAAAGGGGTGCAGGAGGCCACATGCTGCCTGGAGGTTTGGTTGTGGCTTGGAGGTGTTTGGTCTATTGTGTATAATCTTTTTTAGGTCACAGATTTGCACCATGACCTGTGGCTTCCTTTGGGAACTTGGGATATCTGACCATGAGCAGTCAGAGCCCAGGGGCTGAAGGCTGGGCTTGGGTTTGCCGCAGCCTGTCCTCTCCTCTCCCTGTGGCTTCACACTTCCTTCCCTTGATGGATTCTCTTGGCCTGCCTGGCACCCATTTGCAGGGTGGTCCCCAAAACATGCTGTAGGTTTCCAACCTGTTCAGCCTGTGAATTTAAATCTAGCAAAGTTCTAAAGATCATGGTGTAAAGGCATCATCCTCAAATGGCTTCTCATCTCATTCAGAATACAAGCCTATCTCCTTGCAGACCCCATGCAGCCAGTATGATCAGGCATCTTCCTATCCTCTGGGATCAGCTGCCTATTTCCATCCCCCTCCCCTCCCCCCAGCTGCACCAGCTGCCTGGAGGCTCCCCTGTACTTCCTCATGACTCTGTTCCCGTAGGGATCCTCACTCCTTGCCTTCCTCCATTGCTCCCTGTGCCTTCATGTCACTTCATTTTCATCTGGGTACCTGTCACTTCTGAATGTCCTGCTCAAGGCCTAGGTTCAGGTGGGACTTTGCCACTTACCAGCTCTGTGACCTTGAGCAAGCCCCTCAGTCTCTCTGGCCTGACCCTCCTTGTCTGACATGAGAGCTGACGGCACTGCCTCGTACCGTGGGGTGAGGACGGAGGAGGCAACACCTGTAAAGGGCTTAGAATGGCGTCTGGCAGAAAGAAAGCACTCAAAAAGAACTGGCCATTACCATTTCTATGATTATGCTTGTATAATATTTAATCATGTAATTTATATATACATTTAATATGTGATAGTAATTACTAGTAGTATATTATTCCCAGTGAACCAGTGCAGAAGATTGCATGCAGCTCAACCCAGAGATTGAACTGCAGGGACTCACCTGCATGCCACATCCTGCCAGCCAAATGACGCACCATTATGCATAAGAGGTGATAAGTATTCTTTTTATAAATACATGGCCCACACGTTGTTATCTTGTGCAGCACTTTTTAAAAGTAAGGGATAGTTGGCAAAAGTAACTAATCAAAGTTCTACCTAACTTAAATAAAAAAAACCCTGCCTGATTGCCCCCATATTGTTCCTCAATTCTGGGGGAAATAAAATTTGCTGTGCAATTCACAAGTGCATTGTGAAAGGACAATTTACTAGCCTGCAGACCTGGTGACTTCATGTTGCACACTCAGGATGCCACAGAGCCATGGCACTTGAGTGGGGGTCATGATAAACGGACTTGTTTTGTTTATGTAACTTAAATCTGGGTATTCTCTCCAAGGTAGCGGGAAGCCTTTCAAATTTTCTCTATGAAAAAAAAAAGGTTCTTTAGATGTAGTGTTTGCTTCCCTTAAGGGAACAGCATCTTTTGTCAAGTGGAATTTGTTTCCAGAAATTAGCGCTGGGATATTGTTAAACTGTGTTCAATATTCTGTCTCAATCCTTAGGAGAAGCTTGTTTAGAAAGAATGCTCTGTGAAATGAGACATGTATGAATCAAAGGATGCAATGAATTGAGTTAATGATTCAACATTCATTAAGATGTGAACTTTTGTCAGGATTTAAGGCATCATATACATTTATAAACAAAACAAAGTGGTCTCAGCAGTGTTCAGTTTGTTTTGGGATGACTGGCAGGATAGGATTGAGTCCCAGGTTCCCCTTCACTATGGAGATTCCTGATTCACCCATTGTAACACGAGTGGTGGTAAACAAGCCCTTGGTGAGTCACTTTTGGGCATTGACGTGTGTTTTCTCATGTGTTTTTCCCTGGACAGCAAGCATTTGCTGTGTTTCCTGTGCCGGGAATATAGCAGCAGAGGGTCTCAGGTGTTCTCTGACACACACTCGTGACCACCTGCCGGGCGCCCGGGGCTGCCATGTCAGGCCGGGCAGTACAGCAGCTCATTCTCAGGTGGAGAGGCAGTCAGCACAAGCGTAAGTGATGTCTGTCGGGAGTAACCGGCGCCATGATGGCAATGAAGGCAGGTGAGGGCACAGGGGGCACTGGCAGAAGGCAGAAGTGAGCATTCCCCTGAGGGAACAGAGTCATGAAGAGGTGTGGCCGAGCCTCCAAGCAGAGGGCAGCCTGGGCTCCGTCGAGGGGTGGCTGATGTGGCCGAGGGGGTTGGAGATGGGCATACGAGCCTGGAGGACAGGAGGGGTCACATCACGGTGGCCACATGGGGTCTGCAAAGAATTAGGCTTTTATTTTGAATGAGATGGGAAGCTGTTTGAGGATGAAGATCTTTAGACCTTTGCTAGATTTAAACCACGGGCCAAACCGGTTGGAAACCTAAAGCATGCTTTGGGGACCACCCTGTGACTGGGGCCTGGCAGGCCAGGGAAATCCATTAAGGAAGGAGGAGCGAAGCCCGAGGGAGAGGAGGGGCCGAGGCAAGCCCAGCCCCGGCCTGGGCCTTCCTGCAGAGGCTGCATGGTTTCTTCAATCACAGTGGAGAACAGGCCCAGGGACAGCAAGAGTACTGGCCCCCAGGTGGCACCAAATGGGCCCTTCACAGGCGGTTATGGGCACCACTGAGTCCAGGATTTCTCAGCTTGTGCTTGGACAGAAAATTCCATGCTTGATTTTCTAGTGCTAAACAAGGCGTCTAGAATCCTGCCCTGCCCATCCCTCGGGATCACCAAGACATCTGGACTTCCTGGGCCCACTGTGGTCTTCTTGTGTCCTTCATGGTCAGGGAACAAGTGTCCAAGTCCAGCCAAGTGTCTCTGCATGTTGGAATCCATGAGTTTTTACAGGTGTGCTGTGTGAAAATGGGCATCCGCGGTGTGGCTGTGTGTAACACGCCCCATGACTTTTCTACCTTGAGATTCCTTCCGACCTTCTCTTTACCTGGTAAGCCAAGGTGGCTCAGAGAAGGAGCAGGAGCCAAAGCACGAGCAACCTGGAAAGAAATCTCATGGTGCTCCTCTCAGCCCTGGGGGCGCAAGCCCTTGGCCCTGCTGGGGTGGGAAGGTGGCTGAGGCTGGGCTGCCCCTGGATTCCCAAAGCCTCAGCTGAATGCTGGTGCTTTTCCTGCTCCTTGGCCTTCAGCAGATGCAAACCGCCGCAGGGCTGCTGACTGGAGGCCTCCAAGCACCCTGAGTCCCTGTTATTACGGCAAACTTAAGAGTAGTAAATAAAAGGAACAAACGAAATAAAAACACAAAATGAAAAAATAATTAAAACAATAACTATTCCATTCATTCTGAGCACATCATCCAAGATTGCATTAGAAAAAACTACAATAAAAACATGCTTTTAATCTGATAGTAAAAAAGCCCAATAAAATAAAAATGAGCTCCATTAATGAAAATAATGGCTCTTACCCCAGCCAGTTAAAATGCTGAGCTTATGTGTTTTGGGGTTTGGGGGAGCTGAGGACTGTTTTTTTCCACAGCGCGTGATAGATTTGCTTCCGTTGCATCCTGGCGATGGCCCCAGCTAATTAGTGTTGCTCAATCTGGAATCTTACCCTTTGTATGAGGCCCAAAGAAATTGGGTAGGAAGACAACTGATTCCTGGGGAAATGGGCAAAAAATTTAAGATTTGGGCCTGAGGAAGGACCTCAAATATGTAGCTGTGTGGATATGTGTGTGTGTGTGTGTGTGTTTTCTCTTTCTCCCTCTCTCTTAATCTCTCTCTCTTCCCCTTCTTCCTCATTACTTCAATTTGCTTTTTCCCCTTTCAAGAAATGACTTTAATTTTCTTGCAGGTGACAGGCTCTGCCTCAGACTCCTTTTGGTGGAAGTGGAGGTATGAACAGATAGCCCACATTAACAGGAGACTTCAGCAAGACCCTTGCCTTCTGATTTTGCATGGCAGCATGGCGCTCAGCATTTCCTCCTGCAGACACCCATGCACTGTCTTAGAGGCCTTCCTCTGCATGGCCTGCTCCTGGACGCTTTCTCCCATTCCTTCCTAGCATCTACTACCAACTGTGATTTGTAATTACTTGTATGTTTATTTGCTTGGTTCTGAATCCTTTGAGTGTAGCTACAAAAGGAGAAATGGCACCATTCATAGACCACGTCTTGACCTCCAAAGACTTTGCAGAGAGCCGACCTCGCCAAACCCAGGATGAAAGTCCTTCAAAGAAACTCTCTGTCCGTTTAATCAACTTCTCTGCTGCCCTCTCAGGGCCCTGATGCTACTACTACAAGTACTTATTTGTTCAAATGAATATTAACATTGTAATTTAGTACCTAATTATGCTTCTCTAGTCATAACTGGAACGTGGTATTAAAATCCTTACATGCTCTTTGGCTATCAGCATGTACCTTTGTCAATATCCTGGAATTGCTGGAGATTTCTTTAATGTACAATCTTTGTGCTCATGTCTCTCCCTGTCACTGATCCTCCCATGTCCCTTACAGATTTACTCTTGGCTGCTGCAGGTTGCACTTAGCACTGTAGTCTTGTTTGAATAAAATGGGAGGTGTAGAGTTCAGCTCTTTCTTAAAGAAGCGTGTGTATACAGGGTTTTTGAAATGGCTTCGTCTTGTGTCTGATGATAGTACCAGCCACACACCATACAATTTCAGGATTCTATTTTGGGGAAAAATTGCCAGCCTTCAAGTATCTTGCCTCACACATAATAAATACTCAATAAAGTTTGCTTAATGTCTCATATCTCTAAGTCAGAGGTCTTCAGTCCTGGATACACAGAAGATGAGTATCTTTAAGTAGACTTCATACCTGGTCTGTTGTCAGAACAATGAAATCCATGTCTCTATGGATGAGGTTTCCAGATGGTTCCCAAGATAAGAAGGATTGACATCACTGCTCCAGACACAACCAATGTGAATATGTTTTAAAGAGCCGCTGTTCCCTGAATGACCCATTCCAATGTATAGCAGCCACTGACAAATGATTGAAACTTGGTTTCTCCTTGGAACTTTTCTACAAACTAAGTAGCCATATCTAACAGTGTGGTGGTAGAGGAAGGAATCTAAGTTTTATATTGGTAAAAATACTTCTGAAAAATTGATCTATAAAAAAAAAGACTGTCCTAATAGGAATTATTTGTATCTGAGGTGCTGTTTGCTATCCTAATTTCCAAGTGTTTTATGCAAATTCTCCCATAAGGCAAATCCTGCCTGTTGGGAGGACTGGGTGGATGTCTACACAGGATGCAGATGACTTAAAACCAGCAATCCTGATAATAAGAAACAGGAGTACCATCTAGGGTTTCTACTTGGGAAACATCTACTTGCAACTGGGGAAAAAAAAGTACAACAACTGGTATGTCAGTAAGTCACTGTCTGAGAAAATGTGCATTTTCCAACAACTCTCTTGTGTTTAGAAATAGACTTGCTGAGCAAAGAAGAGCTGTGTGCTGGGGGATCATGGAGTAGCTTGGGGGTGGCATGGGCCTCCTGTATGCAGACACCCTGCCTCACCAAGAGGCTCCACTCACTTCCTTGGGTACCCCGGACAGCCCTCCACCATCTGCATGCAGACTGCTTGTCTTCATCCAGCTGCTCTAGCACCAGGTCATATCAGAAAACCTTGGCTAAGTGGATTTAGGTTAAAGGCCTTAGCACAGTTTGATCTGGTTTTGCTCAAGGCCACATGACAGAATCACCTGGCGAACTTTCCCTAACTATAATCCAGGGCCTGGATTTTGGAGATTCTGATTCTGCAAGTCCCTCAAGTGATTCAGGCAACCTGTCTTCTGGAAACCCTGGCTAAGCTAGAGTGCAATACCAGTGGGCAGAGCCTGCCTGCCTGGGTATGTGGACATTCTGTGAATGCTCACTTGTCAAACTGGGCAGGCAGGACCATGGAATTTCACACAGGTGCCTCAGGGTCTCTGGGTTGGGGGTCAAGGTGGCTGGTCTCCATGGCCTCTCTCCTTCTTGGATATGTTGGAGTCCTAAGTTAAATTTTGTTTCCATAGATAATTCTGCCAAGGTTTTAGTTTATGGTCACAGATAATCCCCTAGGCCAATATCTCCCACAGAAGTGTCATTGTTATGCAGGGGGCAGGAGAGAGGCAGTCCTCCCCATCTTTACCACTGGAAAGAACAAAAAGTAAAATGAAATAAAATCAATAAAGCAAAACAAAACAAAACAAAACTACACCATCCCTGGAGGCTATGTGGGCTATGAACATGGTGCCTCAGTAGGGCCATCAACGTAGGTGAAGTGCCCCATCTGTCTTGCAAATGGTCCTTCATAGGATTTTCACTTGGGGTCTGGCCTATTATGAGCACCATGAGTGCACCGGAAGGACAGTGGTTTGGAACCTGGGTGTTGAGGTTTGGAAGAAACCACCCCTCACCCTCCTGTGTCCATTCTATTTGTTCTTGTAGGAGCTGTTCTCCTTTAGTTAAGTCAGCGTGGCCATTGGGGCAGGGCTTGGGATGGGAGAAAGGACAACTGGGCTCTATCCCCAAATAGTAAGCAGGCCACATCACTCTTGTTTGGCTTCAGCAACTTCGAGCTTCCAAATTTCTGTGATTTTTTTTTTTTTGTTAGTGTTCCTTCATTTAGGAGACAGAGATGTGACAATCAGGAAACATGATAGTATGGTATACTGTTTCTTAGGAAGGTCTTCTCCAATTTTCCACCCCAGCTTTCCTTTAAAGGGCAGAGTCTTTAATCATAGACAGTGGCAGAATTTTGGTTGAGCTGCACAAGTGGTTTGGCTCTGTTGGGAACCCTGAACATGAGAAGCACCATTAGTCACCGTCTGGACAGCAGATTCCTGACACTCCACCCGAACTCACGGTAATGTGGGCTCTCTTAAAGACAGGCAGATAAAAAACCGCAACTGTAAGCATTCATTGTTATTATTGGGAAGGATATAAACTCATGGTAGAAGAGTTTTTGAAGACAGAAAGAAAAAACATACCATCTCCCATCACTGTGCACTATGATAACATTCCATCCATTTATTGATGCACACATATTATCCATATTATTTTTACAAATATTGTATATGTTATTTTATAACCTGATAGTTTTCACTGAAAAATACAACTTGGACATCTTCCTCTGTCAAATATTTTTGCTCTAATGTGTCATTTTTAAGGTTTGCATGGTATTTCATTATCTGAGTGTATCAACTTAATCAGTCTTTCAATATTAGATATTGAGGTTGTTACAGATTTACATCTTTTTATCCTGTTTTTGTACAGTAAAATATCATAAAAGCTAAATATTTGCATATAATCATGATTTCTTAATTGGAATACATTTCTAAAATGCCTGAGTATACTTTTGATGGTTTTGAATCTGGAAGAATCTGCCTACATTAAGAATGCAGCCCTTAAGGCTGTTCTGTTTTGTCAGGGGTAGAATGGCAAATCCTTCATCTGACCTTTATCACAGACTGGTGTTGGGCACCATGTGACAGTATTTAAGTGACTCCTTAGGGATATAAAATACATATGATGTGGGATTGTTGCTGGGAGAGACCCTTGGGTGTTTGAACACTCAACTGGACATCTCCAGAGGAATGTACTACCCTGGATGCTCACAGAAGTCAAGACAAGAGGTACTCCTGTTTTTTGATGAGCTGCTATGTGCCCCCATCTCTCAAGCATTAGGAGAAGGAGAGGGCACCGGTGTTTGTTCCAACTGCTAGTCTCCCCATGAATACTGCTGCTGGTGACAACTGGAATGTAGCCTAGTGGGAAAGGGTGCGGGGGCCCTTGGGACGACTGGAAGCCTAACATGCTGAGGTTTGCACTGGTGAATAAGTGGGTACTGCCGGTACCTGGGGGCTTCTCACATGAATATTGTAGGCTGAGGACAAATGCAAACAACCAAGACTCTGAGGAGGCCCAAACAGGCTTCAGTGCTTCCAGTTACTCCCTGCAACCACCAGCCAAAGACCATCAGGCTTGTGTGGTGGCCAGAACAAAGAAGTGTGAGCACCATGTGGAGCCATGGGCAGCCTAGTAATGAGAGGCTGTTAGGAGGGGCTTCTTACAGGGCTGGAACTTCTGCTAGACTGATGTTGGGGACGGTATCAAGGGTTTGCTTGGGACTGGATGCCTTTGGGAAGTGGGGGCAGATCCATGACAGGCCATCTAAATTTGTTAATAGGGAGAAAGCAGGAGAAATGCAGCAGGGCTGCAATCAGCTAAGAGGCATGACTCACCCAGGCTCCCAGGGAAGGAGGGAGGCTTGGTCGTCCTGCGGCTTGTGCAGTGCCCTTGCTCTAGTCTTGCGCAGACATGATTAGAGAAGGTCTCATTTTTGTCTCATGCCATCATGGCACAGAGTGACCTCCTCCAATGTGCCTGCTGTCTGAAATTGTGTGTGTCCAGCAGGTGAATGTGTGGCCTGGATTGCCAGGCCAGCTTCCACCTGAAAATGTCTGGGCCTCATTCTTGTTCTTTCTCAGACCCCTGCCACCCTGCTCACTTGTGCATTCCCTCCTTAGGCGTCAGCTGCTGAGCACCTCTACTGGGTCACACCTTTCACCTTGGTTTAGCTCACTAAGGCCAGTGTGATTCCAGAACTGTCTCTTTCTTGCCCATTATCAAACTTAACCTATTTTGTGCACCATCATCTCTCTGACAAACTTGGTGTCAGTCTGTATAGATTTTTGAAAAGTTCTTTGTCTTTGTTCTAGGCAAATTGTAAATTATATATCAGCTTTGGTTGAGTTGCAATTTACCAAACATAAGAGCCTACTTCAGTGAGTTTTAGTAGATGTATGTATTTAATTGTACACTTACCTTCTTAGCCATGACATAGAATATTTCCATTACCCTTTAAATGATTCCTGTGTCTCTTTCATGTCAACCTCTTCCCTGTCTCTAGTCACTGGCAATCAGTGTTTGGTTTTCTTTTGCTATAATTCTGTGTTTTCTAAAAGCTTATTTAAAATGAACCATGCAGTACACAGATTTTTGTGACTAGCTTTTTCACTAACAATGCCTGTTACAATGCGCTTGAGAGCTTCCTTTTTTACTTGCTATTCTTTATTTTCAATTGAGGTATAATTGACATAGAACACTGTATAGGTTTCAGGTATACAGCTCATCTGTTTCTTGTGTATCAGCAGTTTATTCTTTTTTCACTGCTGAGTAGTATTTTGTTGTATGAATGTATCATAATTTATCCATTCACCAATTGACGGAGATCTGCATTATTTCCAATTTTATGAAATGACAAATAAAGTTGATAGAAA